GTGCCAAATGTTAGGCACAATTTAATTTCAGTTTCTTCGTTGGTTTGTAAAAACTATATTTTTACTTTTGGAAAAAATGTTTTAATTAAATTAAATGGTTGTGTTATAACTTCTGGTGCATTGAAAGATAGTCTATATATTTTAACTCCTAACTCATATCAAATGCAAAATTATGAATTAAATGCAACTTCATCTAGATTGAATGTTAAAAGAGAAGCAGTTTCTCCAAACTCATTGTATCATTGGCATCTACGATTGGGTCACATCAATCAAAATATGATTCAAAGGTTGGTTAAAGAAGGTTTATTACCATGTGAGGCAGAGGAGCCTATGCCAACTTGTGAATCCTGTATTGAAGGAAATATGACTCGAAGGGCTTACTCAGTCAAAGGATATAAAGCCAAAGACCAATTAGAGTTGGTGCACACAGACGTGTGTGGTCCCATGAACACCCAAGCGAGATGAGGGTTTAAGTACTTCATCACTTTCATTGATGATTATTCACGTTTTGGATATATTTACCTAATGCGACGTAAGTCAGAAGCTTATAGAAAATTTCGTGAGTTTCAAGTGGAAGTGGAGCGTAGATTAGGTAAACTTATCAAAACACTTCGATCTGATCAAGGAGATGAATACCTCTTGGGGGAGTTCAAGGATTATATGGTCAATAAGGGTATTGTGCGCCAGTTATCCGCACCTGACTGCCCCCAACAGAATGGAGTGGCAGAAAGGAGAAATAAAACTTTGCTTAGCATGGTTAGATCTATGATGAGTTTTGCGTCATTACCTCTATCATTTTGGGGATTAGCCTTAGAATCAGCGATATACATCTTAAATTGTGTTCCATCTAAGTCTGTTTTGGGAATGCCATATGAGCTGTGGTTTGGACATAAACCTAGTTTAAATCATATGCATATATAGGGGTGTCCAGTACACGTGCGTAAGAAACAGGCAAACAAGTTGGAAGCAAGATCAGATGCATGCTTATTTCTTGGCTGTCCTAAGGGCACTAGAGGTGGATTATTTTATGATCCCAGGGACAATAAGGTTATTGTCAGCACTCATGCTGTTTACCTGGAGGAGGATTATATTATGAACCACAGACCTAGTAGCCAGATAATGTTAGAGGTGATGGTTGGCATATCAGATATATCCCCTATGGACACACCTAATATAAATACTGAGAATGATGAGACACAAGAAGTCCCTGTTGAATTACCATGATCTAGTACATCAATTCCTGCACCGGTCCTTCGGCACAATGGGATGACCATCCGACCCGACAAACTCATGTTTTTGGGTGAGGTCTATGAGGCTGTCCCCGATAAGCATAAGTCAAACCTAGTGAGCTATGCGGAAGTGTTAACCGATATAGATGCGAATCATTGGAAAGATGCCATGAATTCAGAGTTGGAATCTATGTATTCTAACAAGGTCTGGGAAATTGTAGAACTTCCTAGTGGGGTTCAGCCCATTGGTTGTAAGTGGATCTACAAATGAAAGAGAGGAATGCATGGGAATGTTGAGACATTCAAAGCTAGATTGGTAGCCAAAGGCTTCACTTAACGTGAAGGTATTGATTATGAGGACATATTCTCACCAGTTGCAATGCTTAAATCTATTCGCATTCTTTTGGCCATTAGTGCTTATTATGACTATGAGATATGGTAGATGGATGTTAAGACGGCATTTTTCAATGGCCATCTTGAACAAGACATATACATGAGGCAACCAGACAGTTTCGTGGTTAAAGGTCGTGAGCATTGTGTGTGTAAGTTGAATAGGTCCATTTATGGACTTAAGCAAGCTTTAAGCACATGGAACATTTGTTTTGATCAGGCAGTCAAATTATTTGGCTTTGAACAAAACGTGTTTGAACCTTGCGTTTACAAGAAAAAACAGGGTAATGTCATCATGATTCTTGTTTTATATGTTGATGACATCTTACTCATTGGTAATGATGTAGAGGCTTTGTCATCAGTTAAAAGGTGGTTGTTCAATAAATTTGAGATGAAAGATGTTGGAAAAGCAAGCTATATTCTTGGGATCAAGCTTTTGCGAGATCGGGTTAAAAAGAAAATAGGCTTGTCTCAAGAGTCTTACATTGACAAAGTTCTAACCAGGTTTGGAATGGAAAACTCTAAGAAAGGGTTTTTACCATTTAGACATGGATTGACTCTTTCTAATGACCAGTCTCCCAAGACTGATATGGAAATTGAGCAAATGAGGCGGATACCATATGCTTCGGCTGTTGGTAGTCTCATGTATGCCATAGTCTATACCAGACCAGACATCTACTACTTAGTAGGGATTATCAGTAGATATCAGTCCAATCCTGGACTTGATCATTGGTCAGCTGTGAAGAATATCTTAAAATACCTTAGAAGAACTAAGAGTCTCATGCTCATTTATGGAGGTGATGATCTGGTTCTAGTTTGGTATACGGATTCTGATTTTCAATCAGATCCAGATGCCAGGAGATTTACATCTGGATATGTGTTCAAGTTCAATGGAGGGGCAGTTAGTTGGAAGAGTGTCAAGTAGGGTTGTACTGCTGACTCAACCATGGAAGTAGAATACATTGCAGCCTCTGAGGCAGTAAAAGAAGCTATTTGGTTGAGAAACTTTCTAATTGAACTGGAGGTTGTGGAGCATATAGATCGGCCTATGACGCTTCATTGCGATAATAGTGCGGCTATAGCCCAAACCAAGGACCCAAAATTTCATAAAGGAATAAGACACATTCAGAGGAAACATCATGTGGTTCGTGATATAGTAAAGCGAGCAGATATACTTGTGGCCAAGATTGTATCGGAACATAACCTTGCTGATCCATTCACAAACGCTTTACTGATCAAGATGTTTGATTGTCATATGGAGAACATGGGAGTTCGATGTGATTCGAATTGGCTATAAGTGCAAGTGGGAGTTGTTGGGATATGTGTGCCCTAGCATAGCAAATTCTTATTTTGGATTGTAAAAGTCATAGTTCCTTATCTGAATATTATTATTGAAGCATTATACAATTGGTAAATGGAATGTATTATTTTTCGATTCATTGTGGAATTGATTGTGTCTACTTGATTACAAGATATATTTATATATGTATGTAATGGCAATTAATACTAAGTTATAAATTAGTAATCATAAATGGTTCAAAGTCAGTAATTATGGATAGACATTTAATTAGTTAAGACTTCAACCGAGTCCACGATAGATTGAGATATATTGCGAGAGTTGTCGTATGCAATTGCTCTCTATCACAGTCATAGCTTTTGACTGTCAAACATGAGAGAAGTATAGACTCTTTTATTACTTAATAATTACTTTGATTTGTTCGGCGGATACCTCGGGATCCTTAGATCAGCACTTTGGGTAGTTATGTAATTAATAGTTAGAGGTTTATAGTCTCAATATTTGCATCAATACTATTTGTATTTATTTTGTTTTGATTATGATTGATCACAAATTAAATTCGAAGGCCTTCGTATGTTTTAGACAAATGTTTTCTATATATATTTATTTAATAAATTATTATTTTTGTCAAATAAATATTTTATTGTGATCGAGCCAAAAATAATCAAAGGTAACAAAATAATTATATTAATTATGTTGTCGGATTGATGGCTTTAATTATCCGATAAATAATTATGCATAGAGGGGTCAAAGTGCAACATTGACTTAGAGGTTATTTACTATTTAATTGGAGTGCAATTAATTTCTTTTAGTGGCGTAGAAATTAATTTATGAATTAATTGAATTGGGTCCATGGTTTAATGAACCAGACCAATTATTAATTTATAGGAGCCAAGAAAATAGTAAGCCCAAAGAATTCTCACCAATAACCCAAGTTGATATTGGAGTCCTATTAGAATTGAGAAATTTGATTTAGAGATGGAAAATGTTTTCTTGTTTCCTTTTTCTTATTTTTATTTTGCCTATATATACATGGGTCTATGTATATTTTAGGTGTGACTTTTAGAACAACAAAAAGGAATATACTTTATCTCTCTAGTTTTTAAAGTTTGTTTTCTCTTCTAAAGGAGGCTACCACAAGCCTTGATTCCAAGGTCATTCATCAAGGCATATTGGTGATTCCTAAAGAGAAGATCATAATCAAGAAGAAGGAGAAAGGATCTTGCTAAGAGATATACAATAAGTGAAAACATTCACTTTAGAGGAAAGATTAAAAGGTTTACTCAGACCTTTGATGTAAGTATTCAATCTGTTTATTGAATGATACATCATCTTTTATTTGTTTTTGCATAAAACTTATATCTATGTGATGAATCAAGATCTATATTTGCAAATCCCTCAAAAAAATTAAAAAAACTTGCACGTTTCCCAACAGTATCATGTTAACACATCGTTTCATATGCCTATTGTTATGTATGGGTGTTGCTGTTGTTGGCTCAATAGTGCTGGTCGAGGTGTGTGTTATTGGCATATATATGCAGGACGGACCCAATGTACACTGGGTGGGGGAAATTGCTCCCATTGATTTTTTTCTTTTACTATTATATCACTAAGTTTTTATTTTTTCAATTTTATACTCCCAACCCAAAATTACAAAATAAAAAATTTTAAAAAAAAAAAAAGAAAAAAAAAAACTTTTGCCCCCCTCACACAAATTTCTGGATCCGTTCTTGGTTACATGCATGTTGTTGGCGTATGCTATTGTTGACACCTCCAAAGTATAGGTTGAGTAGGGTATTTGGTTGAGTGGTGTTTTGTGAGCGTTGTTCGGGTATTGGGCTTCGTGTGTTTGGGCCGGGAGAGAAAAAATAGAGGGCGGTGAGAGAGAGATACAGTGTGTGGTGAGAGGTGAGTATTTGGGATGTTATTGTAGGCAAAATTAGGGCTTGACAGTGCTGGGCATGAGAATCATAACTCCATGGAGGGCAACTTAAGGAGTTGAAAATGAAGTAGAGATAGGCAGTTAAATAATTATTATAAGACATATTTTGGGTCGTTTTTGAGGCAAATAGAAGCCACTTCTTTGTATTGCTTCCATAATAGACTAATAAACATACAACTTCGCAGTACTAGTTCCCGAGTACACTTTTCTTGACAAATGTATAGTAAAAGTCTCTGAGAAGTTGAAAGAGAAAAGGTCTCAAAACAGGCTTATTCAAGGACTAGAGACACCTACCCACTGGATCATGAACAAGGGTCAGTTCGACTGATCAGTCAGGCCCATGTAAGGTGATGCTTTGCAGGGCCTAAGCCTATGTAACAATTTCATTGACAGCGGTCATGCCATAAACCATTGTCTAGCTTCTCACTCTCTCATATTGTAGTAAGAAACTTGGTTCCCCTCATGGCTTGCTTTGTAGCTTTAAGGAAGAAACGTCAAACATATACTACTCTCAAACATCCCACATGGATTTTTCCATGGCTGTTTCACCACGTGAGAGCTGTTGATGGAAAGGATTTATTACTTGCATTCTCTGTTGACTCATTACTTCTAAGTCCAATCTTTGTTGTTGTTGCTGCTGCTGCTGCTCATGCAAATTCGGGGGCCTTGATCCTCCGATCCCCAAAAAATCGACAGTCATCATATCATCCCCGCCGCCTCCACCACCACCACCACCACCACCTCCTCCAAACCGCGACGGGCCTGTTGGGCCCCGGCCCATCACACTTCTTCCCTGCAGTATCATACTAGAACCATTACCATCCACATGTTCCATGTTCTTCATGAACCCAGGGTTTTGATCACTACCCACTAACAATCCACTGAACATTCCTATATCATTCATGGCCGAGCTAGAGGTCCCAGAGTCGAACAAGGACGACATTTCTTGGGAACCCTTTTGCAGGAGCTGGTTTGTGAATCCTCCACCATTGATCCCTACCAAAGTTGACTGATCAGGATGTGTTTGGAAGTGTTCATACGAGTTGTTATGTTGCTGAATTGCACCATAAGATGGTGATCTCATGCCAGAGAGCTGATCAGGACCTGCCATACTACTCACAAAACTTTTCTGCATCATAGGGGAGTTGATACTGTTGCTTGCAGTTGCACCCATCTGTGCCGCTTTCTGCAACAATGCAGTGGCAGACATGTGAGCCGAACCGGGAAGTTGGGCGCCATTTTTGCTATCTTGAAGGTAGTTGAAGCCTGATGAGCTATTTGAGCTTAGTTGAAGGCTAGAGGAAGATGAAGCAATGTTTTTTGGACCACCAAAGAGGCTACCTGAACTGCTTGAGAACATGCCTCCACTTGCCATGTTCATGGGCTTAAAGGGCATCGGCACAAGCTCTTGGGGTAGAGATTTGAGCGGGTTTTTTGGATCATAGTTGCCGAATTCCGACATTCCCATAGATGTATTGGTGCTGCTGTTTATGGGCATAGTGGACATGAGCTCAGGCATTTGGCTTTGTAAGTTAGGTCCCATGTTGGTCATTAGTCCTTGGTTTACTTTGTTGTTTTCTTCAGCTAATGCATCACAGAAAGCTCTGTGTGTAATAAAGCTATCTCTCCTGCAAAAAGACCAATAAGTGTGGCTAAATCAGTTCATTATGGGGTTACATATCTTGAGAGAGAGAGAGAGAGAGATTTGAATCTTAAAAGTTTCAATTAAGGTCATCCAAAAGAAGAAAATATAGAAAAGTTCATTAAATTTTCATCCACCAATATTAACAATAATGCAGGCCTTGATCATACCAAGAGAAACGATTCATATAAAAAAGTAGGGCTAATTAAAAAAGTTTTTCAAACTAGCATTAGTTGTTAAGAGGTTAAAATGCAGAAACTTGCTTGAACATAGAATTTGCCCCAACCCTTATCCTAACAATTTTTGAAGCTAGATACAATTTATTCAATTTTTTAAAGATTTTGTTACAGATAAAATTCAAGATTAAGTAAAAAAAAAAAAAAAAAAAAAAAAAAAAAAAAAAAAAAAAAAAAGCAGCAGACCTAGAGAAGATGGTTCCACAATCACATTTGTATTCCCTAGTGCCACAGGTCTTCTGATGAGCCTTCCAATCGGATTGCACTGCATACTTCTTCGAGCACTTGTCACATTTCCATTTCTTTTCTCCGTGTTTCCGGCTATAGTGTTTCTTGATGCCTGTAAGGTCTCCTAAAGCGCGAGCCGGGTTGTGGTGGACACATGATGGCTCGGGGCATATGTACACTCTCTTCCTTACTTCGGTGCTTGTTCGTTGCCTGAGCTTCCATGGAAGATTGTGACCTCTCCGATGTAGCTGCAGGTTTTGGTCCCTTTGGAACCCCTTGTTACAAATCTCACACACAAACCGGTTTGTTGCCATTAGTGTTGTAGGTGATAGAGCAATAACTTCCGCACTTGGATCTAAAATTTTGTAATGTTGAGATAAAATCATGTAAGCAATACATTTCAATAGTTTAGCGAACAAGAAGATAAATGAATTTGATTGAAACAAGGAATATATATATGTGTGGGTGTGTGTATGTGTGTGTCTGTGTGTGTCCATGAGATTTAATATTGACTTATCCAAATAAAAAGGAAACTGAATTTTTTTATAAATTGTATAGCCATGAATCTAGTCCAAATTAAACAGCTGGAAGTCAAAAAGAGAGAAGAAAATTTAAGTCCTATACGTGAACCACAGTTCAAAGCAATTATTGTAGTCACCAAGCAATAATTGAACCCTTGGATTAAAAAATTGTTTTTCCTCCAAGAACCAAATATATATAAAAATAAAAAAATAAATAAAAAAAATCCTCTTATGCTGCTTATGAACAGATTAAAACCACATTGACATATACCATATATGCTTATATACTGTATCATACTCAACTGTGATTATTTACTTCTATAGTTTGAGTTTATAATTAAAACCCTCTATAATTATCTATTTCATGATTCACCCCATTGATTACTGAATCAGGTAAGAAGTTAGAATTCTTACCTGTTTATTTTCTCTTTTCCCATTTATGGGCCTGTAAATTTACTTATATATATATATATATGAAATTGACCTTTTTTTAAAATAAAAAAAAAAAAAGGTTCAATTATCAGTACTCAAATCAGAAAACCATTAAATTTCATGCTTCATTAAAGATTGCAATGAAAAAAAAAAAAAAAAAGTGAGCATCATGGGTGAGGTTAAAATTGCATGCCTGGCGTGCCTGGAAGATTTCTTTTCTTCTTAGGTGGCTGTTGCTGGGAGGTGGAACCATTGCTGTTTGTTGCAGTGATGGAAGGTACTGAATTCGGGCCGTTGAAGTGGTTTTGATTCTGCTTTTCTTGAAGCTGGTGGACTTCTTCCCCAGTATTTCCTGAAGAGAAGCTTCCATCATCACCTGTAATATTTGACATTAGAAAGAGAGGTTTGTGGAGATAGTTATAGGGAGAGTTTTGTCTTTCTGTCTTTTCTTTGCTATCAAACTTGTAATATTGTTTCTTCCCCCTTCCTTTTCTTGTTGTTGGTGCAGCAGGTGCATGCAGTCTAAAAGGGGGGACTTGTTTTTTGGTGAACACAAAATCAGGAATTAGCCTTCACTAGAGGAAGACAAAAACCAGGGAATTCTCCTTTTTTTCTGGTGGAGAGGTCTCTTACTGGCATAGCAACAACATTACAACAACTTGGTCTTCTTGGCTTTATATATTATATCTATATGCATATATATAAGTACTGTGCATAAGAGACAAGGATAAGTAAATAAATGCTTCTAACATTGTTACTAGGAAATCACTTTTTTTTATCTCTAAAGAAAAGTTCCCAATAAATATGGAAGAGTGAATTTATCATGACAAACACAACAAAATTAAAAACACAATAAAAAAAATAAAAAAAATAAGAAGAAGAAGAAAAAGAAAAAGAAATGCAAATTATATATAATACAATACATAAAGATTTACGTGGCGTATAACCTACCACCATAATGAATATTGGCGAAGACATTTCAGCTATGTGAAGAAAAATGATAATTACAAGTTCTCATGCTCCAAATCTAGCTACGTCTCTCTCTCACTTTTTGTTTTGCTTCCAATGTTCTCTGGTACCCACACTACAAATTGTAGCATCCTTATATATTGAGTTACAAATAGAGACTAGATCTATTTCTACAACCTGCAATACAAAATTGATCTTAAAGTTACAATTCAAGCCTGAATAAATTTATATTGCTTAATCAACTTAGTTTTTTTCTGGTCGAGTAATTAACATTAGGGTAAGTTGTTGCTATTTCCTTCGTTTAAGAATATTTCATTTAAAAATGTCAACCAACAAAATTTAAATTAGTAAGGGTGTTCAAATAATCCGCTAATCCGTCGTACCAATCCGTGCGGTTTGGTTCGATTTTTTAATCTTATGGTTCGGTGGTGGTTCTAAAAATTAGCAAGCCGCAATGAGTGATTCGGTTAACGGATTGAACCCTAAAAAAATCGAACCGAACCGAACCGAACCGGTCCGTGAATTATATTATATAATATATATAATTATATGTATACTGGAATATATTATTTCTATTTATTTATTTTTTATTCATTATTTGTTTTTAAAATTCAACCCTACATAAACGTATTTAAGTTTCTAACCCTAAGTTTTCTAACATAAGGTCTGTGACACCTCCCATTCTCTGTTTCGACTCTCTCTTCCTCAATTCCTCATCTCCAAAGGACTAATCTGAGTAAACTCCTTCACAGTCTTTACCTACAACACATATACATGTATGCACATGATGCTTACCTTGAGTTATTTTATACTCTTTGGATGTTACTAAACCATTTAATTGAAGTCCAAAATGATGGGTTAAGGTTGCCCACTCGGTTGACTAAGACATGATGATGTTGTTGTTGTTGTTGTTGTTGTTGTTGCTATTGTTGCTGCTGAGTTTGGTTGGTGCCGAAGTGATGAAATGCCTGCCAGTGGGGTGAAAACTGGGGACGCAAACCTCTACTAAAAGGATTTCCATTGGCGGTTGGGACTTCCCCAGTAGCTATCTTAAGACACTGTACTACAATATAATCATATTGGGCTATTTAAAAAAGCTTAATCCGTGGAAACCGAACGAACCAATCCATTATTTTACGGATCGGTTCGTTTTCAAATTTAGTCAATCCATGAGGACCGAATTAGTTTGAATTTTATCCAAAATCGAACTGATCCGATCTGTAATTAGCCCTAAAAATTAGTATAACTTTCCTTGAAGATTCAAGAATTTGAAAAGTTCTTCAAATTAACAATATAAATCTTTGCAATTTGGCGGGATTGGTTTTACAATTTTTTCTTTTTTATTTTTAAAAGGCTTGCATTAAAATTATGTTCCCTAAAAAGGTTTAAATTTTCAAAAGGAAATTTTAATTTGGAAAGGAGGAAGCAAATTATTGCCCTACATAATCACCCTTCCCAACCTACCCTAAGGGGATAAAAAGAACTAAACTTTGTTGGATGCAACTCTGTATTTGATTGGTGAGAAAAACTGAGGGAAAAACAGGACTAAAATTAAATTCTAAATTTGTGTTTGTGTTTGTATTCGTGCCAGAAAAATAACACGCAAGTCAATCAAAATCCATGTAGGGACCACCATGATGTGACTCACAATTGATATGATGAAATAAATCAATACAAACGTGGCCCACCTTTGAAATATAACCTTAATGTTCACATCAATAAGTACTTTTTTTCCCCCACACATCATTAAGTACTTCACTACACAATAATGAACTAATCGAAGTGTTTTTATTTTTATTTTTGTTTTTATTTTTCTTCAGTTAAAGATGTTGCTCTCCTGGTCCATTTTTCTATTTAAATCCACATTGGTATGAAAACTTCGTCATGAAGGTTGCTGAAATTAATTTTGCTGAAAAATGATAAAGTTGAACTTGTGCAGGTTGACTCTAAGCCACACAGCATCAACACAAACTACATAAAAGTGTCTTAACTGTGGTTTTGGAAATTGGATCATACTCAGTAATCACACAAACATATATATATATATATATATATATATATATATATCAACAAATTTAAAGAGTGAAAAACACCGACACTCAGTAACTTTGAATCACAGAGTTGAAGAAAAATCGCAGACAACTTTGATACATTTTTTATAATGGAATGAATAGTCTCCTCAGTATTATATGTATTTATAATAAATAAAAAAAACACAACCTAAAATATAAAGAAACTAATAGTATAAGTTAACACCTCAAAATTAAACTTTCTCCAAAAATCCTGTAAAACTAAGATAAGCCTAATTATTAAAAATTACTAAATATCAAAAATCAAAATAATTCAAATCGGTCTAGACTTCTAACAAAAATTATGAGTTATTCAAAATTGAGAAAATGCAATTTTTTTTTTTTTTTCTTAGTTGGTATTCTTTTTAGAAATAAGGATTTAGTACCGCTAGACCACTTGTCTGTTGAAAAAAAATGCAATTTTAGAGACTTAAACAATAGAATTTGGAAGAAAAACACCTTACATCAGCAGTGAAGTTGCTGTCTTTTTCGAGTTAGGCCGTTTCCAACTAGATTAGGGTCTTCTCGAATCAAAACGGACTAGTCAAAAACCAAAAACTCTATTAATTTGAGCGTTTGACTTTGTGATGGTCTAAACGGACTCCAAAATGATTAAACAATATGTTATACATCCAATATATATCGGAAAAGCAATGCTTTCTCTCTCTTTATTTTTTTTTTCTTTCCAAAAAGTGTCAATTTCTACTTTTCACCTATCATTTTAAAGAAGCCCTTAACTTGATAGAAAACACCTCTGCTCCGTTTCATTCTTATTAACACGTCCCTGTGTCCATTTACACTTTTTACAGTCCGTACTCTGCTTCCCTCCAAAAATTAATCTTACATATTCCAAACCTATATATGTTTTCTAGGAAAATTGATGTTCAACTAATTAAAGAAGCCTCTCACATCATAAGATGTGGCTGTTGTTAGTTAATTGCCGAACCCTTTTGTCTCAGTTGATACAAACGATTGAAAACAACCAAACGAGTTGGTTTTCTTGTTTTTGACAACAACATTTTAATTTCACTGATGTGTGTGTGTGTGTGTCTGTAAGATGCTACTACATTGTTAATAAGTTCCAATTATATATTAGTGATCGATGTGAGGTTAGTGCAATTTGAAATTTTAAAATAGAAAATTGTAACTAGAAACATGTACATTCTGTCCTGAAATTTTATGCCCTGCCTAAAATTGTAACCATTTATGAGAGCTTGTCATGCTCAAAATCAAGTATTCTAAAGAAGTTTAGGTTAAAAAAATTTCCAAGATAAATTAAATGAATAACGCCATATGATCGGGCCGAATTTGGCTTTTGTATTGTATAATTAAGCTGGATTGATTGAATTTAGTGATGGTTTTTTCCTCTTTGAACTGCCTACCTGCCACACACGTTCAATCACAACCTAGCGACCATGTTTTTGGTCAATTAGAGAAAAATATCAGCGGGTATTTGTTTTTCGACTTTCCAGAATGTGCTCGCTTTTAGCTCCTTCGGATTAGAGAGTTCGCTTTTAACTCTCCAGGATCAGAAACTTTTCAGGAGGTCACCCATCTTAATACTATTCCAAAATAAGCACACTTAATATTAGAATTTTGATAAGTTAATAACCATCACAGTTTAAAGACGCGTTGAACCTACATATAGTATTTTATCTTTCTCACGTGATGTGAGATCATGACATCCGTGTCAGTGTGGTAACTCGTTTGGTGTCTCCGACCTGCGTACAAAAGTCGTCATATTTTAACTGTCTTCATAAAGCCACTCCAACAGTGCTCCAGTCATAGCTTATCCATGGTCTGTACTTCTCTAATTTGTTCTTTCTTCTACAACAAAAATATATGCCACTGATCTTATTAATGACAAAAGTTGTGAATGACAAGTCACAATTCGAGCAAAAGCCATATCTATTCTATAACATATCAAATAATCTTTATTGTGTTTTCTTACTTATAAACGCAATGGAACCGGACTTTAGTAAGTTAATCACATGTACTTGTACCTATTGTTTAAGAAATAGTGAAAAGTTCAAAATGGTATTGTAAAGGACACGTCTCACACTATGTAAATGTAATTGACTTTTCGTGTTTTGAAAACTATAAGCACGAAGAGGGTATAAAATGGACGATATTATACAACGCGAGATGGAGCAATAGTGGTAGCTGAAAGCTGAATCGTTCACATGGAACAAGAATTACTTTGAATTCACAAAGCATGGTAATTTGAATCTATAAAGTTGAAGAAAATTTGCTAGTACATGTATTTATAAATAAAAAACCTAACAACATAAGTGACCCTAAAAACATAAGGAAATGGTTCAAAATCAATTTTTCTCCA